AATGCATATCAAATGCTATCAATAAGCAAGGGGATTATTTTCCCCCAGTGAGAGTGCATTTGAAGTGTATAAGAAGGCTTGACAAAAGAATAAAACATTTTAAGTGATCACTATATTAATATAAATATATCCTACTGAGAAGCCAATGTATGTCTTATATGGACTTTAATGTTTGCCACTAAGTTCTCAAAGCATCATATTTTTCACAGATTTTCTTCCCATATTTTCTTTCTTTATGGTTTCTCTCAACTCTAACAGTGAACCTGGTTGAAATTAACCAAAAGACACAGTGCGTTTATCCACATTTTTAAAAAAGGTTCCATTGGTGATGGGTAGTTGGTAGCCCTTTGATTGACTTCAAAGGTCCACAACCAAAATAACTGGAGACGTAGGCCATCAGGTTGCTCTGTTTCCTAAGCAAGTCTTCCTGATCCAGAGGACATGCCAGGAAATCATACAAGCATCCAAACCAAAGAGAGCCTGCCTTATGCAAACCCTTACAACAATTAAATCAAACGGTGTCCATTGATCCTGAGTCGAATGCCAGGAAGCAGGAGCTTAATATAGAAATCCCATTATCTAGAGAAATCTCAGGAGAGGCAAGTCCACAGTGCCCTCTAAATATATAATAGCAGTTATAATAAAAAATATCTATGAATTTCATCTTCAGAAGGACTCAGCATTTCACTGATACTTCTGCAACTGCTATAGTAACCGTTTAGAGTAATCAAGAGCAAATAGTACCAGTCCTTGAATAAAAGTGAAGGATAAGAGAGGGAGGGTAATATGCTCTGGAGACTTCAAGGAAGGAAGGGAGGCAGAGTGAGGAGAAGGGAAATGGAGAGGTAGCGAAAGAGGAAGAAAGGGAGGAAGAGAAAGCAGTCTATCATTAGAACAAGAACAAGAAATTTTGGCACCTGTTCCATCACCACCCTCTTCCTTGATACTTTTGGTACCTTACTTGCCATTTTGGAATGGAAGACTTTTCCACCACCAGGCTCACTCATTTTCAGCCTCTTGTAAATAAGCTCTTTGTTTAAAATGACATACCTGTCATATTAATATTGCAACTAATTTTGTTCCCATTGCTATGCTATCTAAATAAGATGCAAGAAATGACTAGACTTAAGCTCCAGCTCTGAGAGAGAACTTTATAGTAACTTTAAGGTGGTGTGAGTGATAAAGGAAGTTGAGTATTAATTATAACACTTGTCATTTAAAAAAAAAAAAAAGCTTGGTGGTGTATGTAATTTTACCTCATTTTCTCATTTGCTACTGTTATTTAAATCACTTCCCAGCACTAAGCATGTGCATAAAAGGTGATTGTTCCCAATTTAACCTTTTAAATAAAATGTATTCTATTAATTAAGTCATTACAGTTCCCTCCATTTTCTATTATGTTTATTCATTTATCTTCTGTCCTAAAGATAGACATCTGTGTCAGTGAATATTTGGAAAAAGACCCCTAATTTTTATGCCTATCACCCATTTGGATGTTCTACACTGTTTTTTGAAATAGTTTGTTAGTGTTCTAAAGAATTTCAAATTGTCAATTAAAATAATAAGTATTCCTACTAAAAATAGTAGATAATATTCAGCCAAAAAGTTATCATGTTCAGCCTAACGTGCCTGGGGAACCTGCAGTACTTATATTGGCTTAGATTTCATGGTATAACTTATGGCTGTTAAAAAAAGATAAAAACAAAAAATAAGATCCTACCCTTGTGTGAATTCCTTTTTAAGAATAACTACACAAAATGAGACTGTATATATGGTTTGAATACCATATGTCTTTTGCCTTTCTTCTACTACAAAATAAACTCAGAGCCAGGTAAACTGAAAGGTAAAATCTGTTGTGAGTGTTGGATTATCCATTAGATAGCAACTGAAAATATCCTGTGCCCTGTCTTTTCCTTTATAATCCTAGGCAGGTTAGGTCATAAACACTACCATCATCAAATTCACCACCCTTCCCACTCTCATAGTTTCCATTTATCCAAAGTTTTCATTTATTGAGAAATACATACCTGGAACTGTGCTAAGTGATTTGTAAATGTTTTTCACTCAGTTTTCACAACTCTTTGTGTAATGTTTTATATTATTTTTCAGGTTTAGAGGAGCTTAGAGGAACTTACTAACTTGCCTGGTAAATCTGGAATTTAAGTCACATTTGTCCCATGATAAGCTATTATGTTATTACATAACATTATGTAAATTTTTCTATTTAGTTTATCATTACTAATGATTTAATAACCAATATTTATTAAGCAGTTACTATGGGCTGCCCTCGTGGCTCAGATAGTAAAGAATCTCCCTGCAGTGCGGGAGACCTGGATTCGATCCCTGAGTTGGGAAGATCCCCTGGAGGAGGGCATGGCCACCCTCTCCAGTATTCTTGCCTGGAGAATCCCCATGGACAGAAGAGCGTGGCAGACTACAGTCCATGGGGTCGCAAAGAGTCAGACATGACTGAGAGTGAGCGACTAAGCACATGTGATCCTCTACGTATTTCACATAAACTTGTACATATATAATGGTCAATCTAAGCATACCTGGAAAGCAGTATCATACTCATTTTATAGATGACGAGATTGAGGTACAGATAGGTAAAATACATTTACCTAGGAAGCTCTGGTTTTACATTTATTAATAAATTTAATAAATATATTAAAATAACAAGTCAAGATTTTTATCTCAGATGATTTCTCATCTGTGTAATGGAAATGAATTATTTTAGCTTGAATCCATTAAAACTGTAGAATTCTGAACATGTTAAGCAAAATTATAGCTAACACTGTTAATACTGATCACGATAGAAAGTTTGTATTCATAAGATGTATTCTAATTAAAAAGGTAATAGTATTCTAACATAAGAGTGTTTGTCAGGGCTTTTCTTACGTTTAATTCATATTGTCAATAATTTGAAAAATATTATAACCCTCCTATGATTCATCAGAAGTATAGTAGAGTGATAAAAGTGCTTTGTTTAAGCCTTGGCTCCTCCACTTATGAGGTATGCCCGTCTCTTTATCTGTAAAGACAATAACAACCATCGTCACAGGTTACTGTGAGCCTTAAATGAATTAATAGATATAAAAGGTAGAGGGTAGAACTTGTATATCATAAGTGCTAAGTATTAGCTACTAGTAGTATTTTTTTTAGTCATCATCCTTGCTTTCCACTGTTTTTTTCCATTTATACAATAGATTCCACTGTAAGTTCTTTCAGAACTGGGCAAGACAGAATTTGACCCACAGTTGGAGCCTGATACATCGGGACTGGCATCTTCTACTGGAAACACGAAGTCGAACATGATTTTTAAGCAAGTTAATACCAGGGTAGTCACAATCATGTAATGCTTTTATCTAGAAAATAGAGAAATGCTTAGGAAAAGAGGACTAGGTGGGTGTGGGAAGATTCATGAAAATTTTTGTATAGTGACTGGATCAGTGAAATAGAGTGGATGTTATAGGTAAGCAAAGGAGAGGCCTGTTACTCTGAGACCAATAGAATGTTTGGGGAAATGAAGGCGATCTATCTGTTAGCAAATTCCCCCTTGAGCCACCAAAGTTTCACAGACTAATGTAGACTATGACACGTGGTGAAGATTGAATGGCTGTTGTTGAATATTGAGGTGATAATCCATGCAGAGTTGCCTAAGGATTAAGAATACTTTGATTTTATGCTCATGAGAGATACTGGTTAGTAACTTTCATCAACTTCCTTTGCTTGATATTAATATCAGGGTAATGCCAGCTTCACAATGAGTTAGGAAATGTTCCCTCCTCTGAATTTTCTGAAAGAATTTCTGTAGAATTGGTAGTATTTCTTCCTAAATTTTTGGTTGAATTCATCAAGGTAGTCATCTGGGTCTAGAGGTTTCTTTCTCATAAAGTTTTAACTACAAATCCATTAAGAAAACAACAACAAGCTATGGAGCTATTAGGTTATCTCTTCCTATATAAGCTTTGGTAATTTGTGTCTTTCAGAATCATATCCATTTCATGAGAGCTGTGTTCACTTACATTTTTCCTCACTGCTGAAGCAATATCCTTCTTCCTATTCTAATAAATGCCCCTAAATTATGAAGTTTTTCACTCTGGGTATTGGGAAGGGGAACTTTATTCCCAGCCATATGAGAACTGCAGGCACTGTGTTCTTTCCCCTTTGGGGTAGTTCTCACCCAGGTGTTGGGTAAGTTTCCTCACATCATGTGATCATTAGCATTTAATTAAATACCTGCAGGGATCCTCTGCAGATCTCAGAAAGAATTCTGTAAACCTCCCTTCTCTCTAATTCTCTGACCTAAACTCTGTCTGCCCTGGTTTTCCCTGGATTTCCAGCTTCACATCCTCAGACTGGTATATTCCTGGGCTCTGCCTGTGTTCCCCTTCTTACACCACAACCTGAAGACTTTCTCCAGACAGTAAACTGGAGCAATTGTAGGAATCACCCTACTTGTTTTCCATCTCTAGAGAGTCACTGTCCTCTGTTGCCTGATGAAGATCTTATCTTTTGAATGCCATTGTTTCATGTTATATTTATTTTTAAATACAGTTTTTCAGAAGAAATTGTAAACCTGCTTCCTTTTGCTCCATTTTGACCAGATACAGAAATTCGACCCTTGGGGATTGAACGTATATATTGCTGTTATGCTCAAAGAGTCTTATTATATATTATACAGCTCCAGATCCTTGAGTTTAATTTCTGTTTTTGTGGCTACAGAAACAATAGTCCAGTTAAAATAAGTGAAAATATTAAAGCAATTCAAAAGAATGAAATTCTATTCACAGAAGATTTAATGAACATATATTTCTTCATAACTGTCTCTAAAATACCTACCAATAGAAATGAGATGCCCCAGGCAGGCTGGGGAAACTTTTTTCTCAAATCTTTGCCAGTAAAAGATTTCACTTATTACGAATCTATATTAATTTATTGTTCAAAAACTGGCTGATTTACAAGCTGGTCTGATCCTCGTCTCTTTTATTTCTTTGCAGTGCCAGATGAAAGTAAAGTCCATTCATTGGCTGGACACAAATCGGGTAAGAAATTCCTTGTCACTGACTTTATATTCTCCTTCCTGGAAATCTCTGGCTGTGTTTGAGTAGTGGTTGGAACCTGTTTCCATCCACTTGTCACTGAAAGGCTTGCTCATTAATACATGAGATGTCTCTGACTTCCACAAAGATGAATTATTGCTTGGTCGTCTCAATAGTAGCATAATGTATGCTGACTAAAATGTTTAAGAAGGAAGAAAGGTTTCCAAAAAATAATTATAAAACCAAAATCTTTAACCTGTACACCAGCTGAATACTTGCAGTCACAAAAAATTACGAAGAAAACCCAAGAAAGTTTGAATTTTTTTTTCTGCGATGACTATCACATTAAAGTAGCAGGACAAAGACGTTCCAGAATAAGGAAGATGTGGCCATTTCTTCCTTCTCAAAAAGGAATCATCCTTCTGCCTGTCATCAAATGGGATTGGGCCGAGAGATGACTGTATTCTCTTTCTTTTAATTCGTGTATGAGCTCCCTGGGGGTGCCCGAGCAAGTCCATAAGGATCTCTGAGGGTCTTCAGGCTCTTTCTGTATTTTGTGTGAGATACCTTCAGGTCTAAAATCCAAGCTCCCTTCATTGCCAAGTGACCTACCTTCTATTCTTTTGCACTTCCTTCAGCATCATTTATTCACATTATTTGAAAACACTTTAAGCTAGTAAGTACAGCAGTAATCCCTTTCCTATAAGGGTGCATTATTTGTGGGGATAGTATCCATTTTACTCTTAGAAATACCACTCTAAACAACAGGAGGGCTATGATGTGTTGGCATCCCTTCATTTTTGAAACAAAGAAGTCGTTCCCATCACCAAGTATCTCCTGTGTTTATGGGCCAATTATGTTCTCAGCAGTACGTGGCCTTGATGCCTCATTACCTCCATCATGTTCCAGGGCAAGATTATGATTTTTTTCCCTTTTCTTCTTTCTCTAGATTCACTAGTGATAACAGCAGGAAAGGGCTCGTACGCAACTGTTAGATGTTTTCTTTTCTGCCCCTTTTAATAAAGAGCCTAAGAGGTTAGATCACTGTGAAAGAAAAGATTTCTGTAGGAGTGATAAATGGCCACATGCTGCTTGTTCCCATCATCTTCGTCCATTAGACTCTCTACCATGGGAAGTATTTTTAGCAGTCTGAGAAGGAAGTTCCCGTGACCAAGGAGCTCCCAAGGATAGTCTACATTTTGTTCATCTTAAATGCCTGTTACTGTTTGTCCTTGGGCGTCCCTGCTGGCTCAGTGATTAGAGAACCCATCTGCCAATGCGGGAGATGCGGGTTCGATCCCTGGGTTGGGAAAATTCCCTGAAGAAGGAAATGTCAACCCACGCCCGTATTCTTGCCTGGGAACTCCCATGGACAGTGGAGCCTGGCAGGCAACAGTCCATGGGGTCACAGAGAGTCAGATACAGCTTAGCAACTAAACAACATCTCCTTGTCCTTAGTTCTCCTACACATATTAGTACTTGAAGATATAAACTCTTCTATGAACTGAGATGCACTTCAGTGTAAGAAGAGGAGGCATTTTTTAAAGAATGTTTATCAACTTGATTTTTGAAAACAACTGAATAATAAATGTTCTGCCTTTTTCCAGGAAATCAAATGTTATTCTAATCTTATTTTGTTTCCAAACAAATTGCTGTTAGCTAGTAACTAAAAATTATTGTCACTTTTTTAAAATACAAACATTATTATTATTTTAAATAAATTTAATGGTTTATCTTTATGTAGTGTGAAATAAAGATATTAATAAAGAAGTACTTGAAACATAATCTTCCAGATTGAAAGAAAATGGCAAAAGTGGCATAATTTTAAAACTCTCAGTCAGATTAATTATGAGCTTCACATGGCAGCTTTATTTTAGCTGGTAATAGAAATATTACTAATGATCTTCATATCCCATGAAGCAAACTGTTTTAAAGAAGATTTTCATTACTGATGAGCTATTACTACAATATTCACTATTCTTATAGTTTAAGTACTTTTTTATCCTATCACAGCATCATCAATTCTTTCATTGGCTCTCTGTGGAACCAGGGCAAATGCTGAAAACAACCAGAAACTTGATAATTTTGAATCCAAAGAGGCATATGATTAAACACAATAAAGAGAGCTAACCAATCACCTAAAATTGTGTGCTGTGAGTTCCATTAAATGAGAGCACTCTATAAAACATTAGAGACAGTACTGAGAGAACAAAAAGCAGCCTGAAAGAAAAAGATGCTACTAAAGTCTTGAATCATAGTAATCCTTAAGAATTCTTCCCTCCCATAAAGGGCAGCTCTCTTCATCGACTGCACTTGGGTAGAACATTTTGCATGAGGCCCTGCTGGTAGCAGCAGTAACAACAGTGAAAGAGAATTAAGGTCCTTTTGATTCTGGCAACTTCTTTCAGTCATTTTTAACATTCCCCTAATACAGAGCTGTATCCTCCATCTGCTGCAGTCTAGACTACTAAGCAAGTTGCCAGTTTGGATTGTAATATATAATGTTGCCTAATCATTTACACTTATCTTGCCAATGTCAGCTTCTTTTTGTTTCATCTTTCCTTTCCCCTAATCCTTCCTCCAGAATTTTTGGGTGACAAAGTAGTATCTCTTTTACTAAGAAGAAAGAATATCTCTCCCTCTGTCTCTTTTTAATTATAGAAATGTGGACAGCTTTCATACTGTCCAAGACCATCAGGAAGTTAAATTAAATTGTATGTGCTGACCTAAATCTATCATCCATCCTCTTATTTGGGATGATATTCAACATTTTAATAAATTCATCTGAGTTAAAATTTCTTCTGAGTCAGCTACTTAGTGGGTAGAGAGCCATTCTGTGCCAGGTTCCATCTGTTGGCCTGGCTTGGGTACCTCCCAAATTTGTGACAGTATTTTTGGCATCCTTTCCTTGGCTTATTCTTTAAGGTTGATCCCTCAGAGCTCAGATCAAATCAAAGTCTTAGGTAAGATAAATCTTTCTAACATTTTTGGCCCAAAATATAGTATTCCCTCACCTCTTCTGGAATCAATCCAGTATGCGTGAGACCTCTCTAATAATCTACCTCAGGAGCTTTCCCCTGGCAGTGCATTGCATCTCACACCTTGGCAAGGAAAACGGCAGGCTGGTACTCCTGTTTATAATCTTATGAGAGCCTCCTCCACATGTGAGAGGCATTAATACTTATGGGATGGTGAGACTTACTCAGAGAAGTTAGGAACAAAATGCTTTTTGTTTGGTTCCCTTAAGAAAAAAGTCATAAGTTTTAGAGAGTCTTAGAAAACCAAAACGCTGTCTTTCACCTTAACTGTCTCACTGATTTAATACTGACAAAACTCAAATCCTAGCAATGAGGGGAGGGATATAATTTCAGCAAAATGTGTATTTTAAATAATAAAACCATTTTTTTAAATGATAAACATTCACAGGGAACATTAGAATCCAGAGAAAATGACATCAAATTTGTTATAGCTTTAAAAAAAATCATGCTTTGATTTTGGCTCTACACATACTCGGACAGTATGTCTGTGAAGGAATCCTTTTTTTTGCCCAATTTACTGAACTGACACTGAAATCAATAGTTTAGTGCTCCTCAGCATTCAGACAGAAAGGGCTTATAAATTTTACTTTTTTTAAACTGTGCCTTCATATTATTTTGTTTTGATTTACTGCTTAGAACGGTTTTAATATGTATTGACTGTCTGCAGAGATCCTTGCTGACCCAGCTCTTTAAGATGATGCAGTGCTGAAGAAAGCCGATGAGTCCTTCTTTATGAGCTCTGACATATTAATTAGCAAAATGGACTAAAAAGCTTTCCTATTTCTATTTTAATTTCTTATAGTCTCAAACACCTGTCTATACAGCTGTAAAACAGGCAAGTCTGTAAAAGTAATGGTTGGCAGCAAGTGCAGACCTTTTCTGAGCTGAGTTTATCAATTAATGAGCAAGTATTCATTAACAATCTAGGGGGAATATTTCCAGATGGGATGCCTTGCAACCACTAAGGACAGTTGGTACACACATTGCTGTTGAAGAAGCTGAAGCTCAAGACATAAGTCCTTGTCCTTCCAGTTGGTAACTCTTGGGGTTAAGATATAAATCCAGATATGGTGTGGTGGATGCCATGCATTGACTATTTTATTTTCCACCAGCATATGCCTAATACCTCACCATCTCAGGAACTGAAAATACAGGAGTAAGACACAGTCTAGTTGGAAGGCATGACATACACGTCAAGATACCTATAAATCCTTACTTTACCTTTTGTAATGTCAACTAGCTGAAGTAGGAACACAACAGGTATAACTTCTCTATGACAATTCCTTGAGCAGAAGAATGTCTAATCTTGATAATTTGTACATTCTTTTTTCTGCATGCATATGTACATGTGAATGTGTGGGCCAAGTGAAGAGATGTGTGAGAGAAAACATGCATGTGATGTACATGCATTTTGCATAATTTATAGCAAATGTGTATGTGATATATCTTATAGCAAAGGCTGAGAGCTTAATATGCAAGTTGCTAACTTGATAGATCATACATTCTGCTTTAAATGCATTATGTGTAAACTTCAAATCTAGAATGTTTGAATATAGCTAAAGAAATTGCTGGATCTTTGCAAAAGAACAGATAAAACATAAGATGACTGGATAGTCACTTTAATATAAGAGTAGTGGGCTATTAAATGACGTTCCATAAATTATGTTGAGTCTTAGTATTTCATATTTTTATTGAATATCTAAGTTAAAATATGCATTTAAATTTTGGAACACCAACCGTGGTCATTTTTCATGTTTCAGTCTTCTAATTGAATTACTGTTTTTTATTACTTTTCATTGCTATTGTTGATGAGGAAATAAAATCTTGGAGTAAGTGGGCAGTAGACTTGAACTATCTTTCTTTCCTCATCAGTTGGTTAAGGTTATATTGCATGGTTATTTGGAGTATTTATTTCTAAGCTTTTGTCACGTGTTATATTGGATAACTATAGCTTTAGACACAAGA